CTAAGTCTTGCTTCTTGTCCAGTTCTGTTAGGTTCTATGGAAATAAGAATAAAAGTAAATGACTATTTTTGCATCTAAGGAATTTACAATTAATCCTAAGACGATGTCTTTTTTTTTTTTTTTTTTGAAGGTTTTGCAACGCAATTTTATTTTCTTTTGTGAAAATAAACAACTGGGAGTTTAAATTGCTCCAAAAACCATATAAACAAAAAGAAATACAGAAGAAGCATGTGAGGTGATGGGGAAGGGAACAGGGTCTCTTGAACTTTGGCAGATTGTGCTGGCATGGACCCAGGTGACAGGAGCCAGACCATGGGGCCAGTCCTGCCTGCCACTGTGGGGCCGTGAGGGGATGATCGCCACTGGCAAGGAGGGGGAGAACACAGACTTCTTCGCTGAGGAAATGGCAGGCACCTTGAGTCCCTTTAAATGTAGGGGTGGGGGGAAACCATTTCAAAGGACCACTTTCTCCACTGCAAGCTGGGGCTAGCGGGTTTGGGCCCACTGAGGGAGGGGATGGTGGTGGCAGCAAATCAGGGCAAGATGTCTCACACTGGGCAGAGGACAGAGGACGAAAAAGAACCCATGGTATTGGGCAGAAGATGAAAATTTGGGTTGGGTCACAGGAAATACCGCAATGGCGGAGATGCAGATGGAGTCTGGGAAGCTGGGGCACCCTCTGCCCAGGTCTATCTACCACAGCACCTAAGGGATGAACAACATGCTATTTTTCAGTTCTCTTTCTTATAAAGATTTTTTTTGTTGTTTTGTTTTTTAAGGAAAGCCTTAAGATCAGCTACTGGTTACATCTACAAACTGTAAAGTGCTGTTGTTACCAGCCACTTTACAGAACAGTCCAGAGTGGTCAGATACTGACCAATAAAGCCTCCTTTTTCTTTTTCTTCTGAATTATTACTACTCAATGAGTCACGTGACAGCCTGCAGGGGCTAGGGGGCAGCTTAGTGGGCAGACTTGGTGACCAGGGAAAGAGGCTGGGCCTGTAGCACTAGGAGGGCCTGGTGGGCATGGAGCGTGGCGGGGAAGGATGGGGGAAGAGGCCAGTAGAGTTGTGGGCATGGACCCAAGGGGGAGGGGCCGGGACAGGAGGGGAGGCTGGCTGCCCATCTGCCCAGAGGAGGAGGCTGCAGCCTTAGCGGACATGAAGGCAGCAGAATGGAGAGCCAGATGGGCCTGGGTTTCTGGCTTGGTGGTGAGGGAGAGGGGCTGGGCTTGCTCCGAATGGGTGGCGGCAGGGGCGGCAGGTGAGGCCAAAGCTGCGGAGGGGGTGGCGGGAGAGTCCAGCATGCTGCCGTGGGAGGAGGCAAGGCTGTCACAGGGCTTCTGGGCGGGGGGCGGGTACTGAACACATGGCTGCTTGCTCTTGGAGGCCAGAGCCCCCTCTGCCTCTTGGACTTGCTGCTGTGACTGTGTGTGGGACAGCTGCTTTTCTCTCTTCCTCTTCTTTCTCTTACCGTAGTTGTCCCGGTCTGACCAGGTCGGGTAGAGCTGCGAGTAAAGCTGCCGCTCCTTCCGAGCCAGCTCATAGTACTTGGCCTGTTCTTCTCGAGACAGGTTGTGCCACTTACTTCCCAGGATCTGGTTAATGGTTGCACTTTCCTTCAGGGTGCACACAGCCACCACCTTAGCCCTCATCTCATTCATATACAACATGAAGGCATTCGGAGGCTACTTTACATGGGACTTCTTTTCCTCCTTTTTCTTCTTTTTTCTTTTCTTTCTTTTTTTTTTTTTTTTGAGACAGAGTTTCGCTCTTGTTACCCAGGCTGGAGTGCAATGGCGCGATCTCGGCTCACCGCAACCTCCGCCTCCTGGGTTCAGGCAATTCTGCCTCAGCCTCCTGAGTAGCTGGGATTACAGGCACGCGCGATCATGCCCAGCTCATTTTTTGTATTTTTAGTAGAGACGAGGTTTCACCATGTTGACCAGGATGGTCTCGATCTCTCGACCTCGTGATCCACCCGCCTCGGCCTCCCAAAGTGCTGAGATTACAGGCGTGAGCCACCGCGCCCAGCCTTTCTCCTCCTTTTTCACGGTGACTGGTGATTTCGCGCTCACGGAAGGGCTCAGGCTGGGGAATGCTGGTTCCTGCTTGACGATGGGGGAGACGATGGCAGGATGGGGGAGACGATGGCAGGGTGGGGGATCCCTGAGGTGGGCAGGCCAGGGTGGGCAGGAGCCACCATGTGAGGTGAGAACCGGCTGGAGACCAGGCTGGACATCGACGCATTCATGGCGAGGACAGGTAAGAGTACCGGAAGCCACCAGGCGGAAGAGAGTACATGGGCTGGCCTTGCTGTGGGACGAGCCAGCCAAGGGGATGGGGGATTTGTCCGACAGCTCCAGGACACAGCGGGTAATACGGTGACAGCTCAGATGGGTGAGGAGGCCGGGGGATTCCTGTCTTTGGATTGATCTCTGGGGAGAGGTGAGTGGGCGGGGAGCCAGAGGAGACGTGGTCATTGCTGTAGGTAATGAGGGGATTCAGCGGATGCATGTGATGTGGGTGCTGAACGACAGGAACTTTATTAGACAAGTGTGCTGGAGATGGTGACCTCGTGTCCTTGACTGTGGCACTGGAGGGGACATCGAGGAGGGGCCATTTCATCTGCAGGTAGGTGCGCGTTCCACCGGGAGACAGGGGTCCATTAGAGAGATACGGGCTACTCAGGTCCGGGATCATCAGGAAGGGGTACCCAGGGCAGAGGGGTCCTTTAAGGAACGCGCCGTCCTGGGGCCCTCTCACTTCGGCGAAATAGTCCCGTGGCTTCTGGAAAGTGTCCCGGGCGGGCCGCGGACGCCTCTCCGCCTCCGACTCCGAGCTGCTGCTCTGGTTCTCCGACTCGTTGTCCAGGGACGACTTGACTTCGTCTAGGTCCTGCTGCGCCGAGGCGCTGTCGCTGCTCGGCTCCTGCTCCTCGCCCCCCTCGTCCTGGAAAGGGATCGGCTCGTCGTTCCCCCCGAGGTCGTCCCCTCCGCCGGCCGCCCCAGCGCTGGAGCCACCGCCTACCCCGCCGCAGCCGAACTGGGGCATGGCGGGGCCGCGGGCCACGGCTGCGGATCTTGGAGCCCCTAGCCGTCCGCGCCCTGCCCGGCCCGGCCCCGCGCCCCTCCCGCCCGCTCGTCGGCCGGCTAGCCGCCGCAACAAAGTTTGACAGGGCGTGGCCCCGCGTAAAGCGGGCCCGGCGCGGCAGGGCCGGGGCGCAGGCGGCTCAGCTCGGGCCCCCCTGGCAGCGCCGAGCCTCGGGCTCCCCAACTCGCCGCCACCGCCGGAAGATGTCTTAAGTGTAAACCTAAAAGTATGAGATTCTTTGGCTCAGAAGAAAATTTTCCTAACGTCCAGGACTAAGGTTAAGAGGAAGTTATTTTCTTGGGTTCAGAGATTTGCATATGAATGTTTTCAGCCTCTTAAGTGACTTAAAGCAACTTGGGACCCAAAGTTGCTGCCAGCTCAAACGCAATTTTTTTTTGAGACGGAGTTTCTCTCTTGTTACCCAGGCTGGAGTGCAATGGCGCGATCTCGGCTCACCGCAACCTCCGCCTCCTGGGTTCAGGCAATTCTCCTGCCTCAGCCTCCTGAGTAGCCGGGATTACAGGCACGCGCTACCATGCCCAGCTAATTTTTGTATTTTTAGTAGAGACGGGGTTTCACCATGTTGACCAGGATGGTCTCGATCTCTTGACCTCGTGATCCACCCGCCTTGGCCTCCCAAAGTGCTGGGATTACAGGCATGAGCCACCGGGCCTGGCCCACGCGAATGTTTTTAAACTTCAAATTGCTGCTTCTGTTATTGCTGAACCTATAATTTTCCTTAAACAGAATTCTGACCATTTCATTGCCTCTCTTAAAAAGCTTCAGTGGGCCGGGCACAGTGGCTCACGCCTGTAATTAAGCACTTTGGGAAGCCCAGGCAGGTGGATCATCTGAGGTCAGGAGTTCAAAACCAGCCTGGCCAACATGGTGAAATCCCATCTCTACTAAAAATACAAAAATTAGCAAGGCGTAGTGGCCAGCGACTGTAGTCCCAGCTACTCAGGAGGCTGAGGCAGGAGAATCACTTGAACCCGGGAGTCGGAGGTTTCAGTGAGCTGAGATCTGCCATCGTACTCCAGCCTGGGCAAAAGGAGTGAAACTCCGTCTGAAAAAAAAAAAAAAAAAAAAAAAAAAAAAAAGCTTCCGTGGTTACCCATTGCCTACAGAAAAGGAAACAATAAAAGAGATTAACATTTATCTGTGTCCTGGACAATAGGCAGATTGCTTTCCACAATACTCACAACGACCCTATGAGATAAGCACCAGCTCACACCGTACCGCAGCTTCCTGGTCAAATTGTCCTTTCTCTTTCCCTGAATAGTTTCTAATCCCTTTTTTAATACCTACAGTTTTACTATTTTATCTTTATTAAAATCCCACCAACATTCTTTGGGGAATTAAGTGAGGTATACAAGTTTTTATATTAGAAACGCCGGGCGCCGTGGCTCACGCCTGTAATCCCAGCATTTTGGGAGGTCAAGATGGGTGGATCACCTGAGGTCAGGAGTTCAAGACCAGCCTGGCTGTCATGGTGAAACCTCATCTTTAAAAAATAAATAAATAAAATAAAATAAATAGAAACCCTGAGTTATTTGGGCACACACCTTTCTGGTCTGCCTGCAAGCTTGCTTCCAGAATGGGTCATGAAAATAACGGTGAAAAATGGCCTCTCCCACACCCAGCTTCATGTGTTAAAGCATGTGCCGTCCACTCCCAGTTCTGTTTGCAGGCTTGCCTGCCCTCAGCCTTCGGACAAGTGGTTTGGCCCTCAATCCGGGTGAGACTGTGGCAGGCCTCCCTTTGTGCCATCTTCTGGCATCTGAAGCTTTCTGATGTCCCATCAACAACGTAACATGTCTACGCTTTGACTCCTCTTTAATGAGCTCATGAGGAGGCTGCTGCCCACACTCTTGTCAACAGGTTAACAAATGACACAAGAGAGAGCCTAGCTTTGAGCAGTGGCAGTATCGTAGCCAATGAGGTTTATCTAAGGCACGATTATTGCTAATTGAAAACTTTTCCCAATACCCCGCCATGACGACATGAAATATAATCGGCGTTGGCAATTTTTGGCTGTCTCTACAGGGGCTGAATCATTAAAAAGAGAGAGAGAGAGAGAGAGAGCTTAAGGGCTATTTTGTCAGTCCATTTTTCTTGGTTCTTTTTTTTTTTGAGACAGAGTCTCGCTCTGTTGCCCAGGCTAGAGTGCAGTGGCGTTATCTTGGCTCACGGCAACCTCCACCTCCCAGAGTTCAAGTGATTCTCCTGCCTCAGCCTCTCAAGTTGGGAGGGTTGGGACTCACAAGGCTGGGACTACAGGCGCATGCCATGATGCTCAGCTAATTTTTGTGTTTTTTGTAGAGATGGATGGAGTCTCACCATGATGCCCAGGCTGATTTCAAACTCCTGAGCTCAGGCAATATGCCTGCCTCAGCCTCCAAAGTGCTAAGATTATAGGTGTGAGCCACCGCACCAGGCCATCCAACTTTTACTTCTATATCAAACTGGATCCCATAAGTCAGTATTTCTGGATTGATGTATTACTTCTTTGCTTTTAGCAAAGAGAAAGCTACATAAAAACATTTCCATGTTTTCTGAAAATTACAACTGAAGGCATTATCAATTAGATATCCATTGTTTCTATATAAAGATCCCTGTAATAAATTATTCTCAGAATTTAGTGCAAGTAAAAGTTGATATCTTCAAACTTTATGGTTCATTTTATCAGACAAATGTGTCCAGTGTGTTCCCCTTCCCGGTCTCCTCACCAGGAACTCGGAGCCCCCTGCCTGCCTCCCAGCTTCCTTGTGTCTGTCCTTGAATAGTTTCTGATCACCTTATGATACCTACAGTTTCACCCTTTTATTTGGTCTTAATTTTAAAAGGTACCCCAAATTTGGGGAATAATTACATAAAAGATATATAAGTACATTTGAGTAACTTGGGCATATATTAGTAGCCTTAAGTACCCACTTTTTAAAACATGTATGGAAAAGGCCGGGCGCGGTGGCTCATGCCTGTAATCCCAGCACTTTGGGAGGCCGAGCCGGGTGGATCACAAGGTCAAGAGATTGAGACCATCCTGGTCAACAAGGTGAAACCCTGTCTTTACTAAAAATACAAAAACTTAGCTGGGCATGGTGGTGAGTGCCTGTAGTCCCAGCTACTCGGGAAGCTGAGGCAGGAGAACTGCTTGAACCCAGGAGGCAGAGGTTGTGGTGAGCCGAGATCGTGCCATTGCACTCCAGTCTGGGTAACAAGAGCAAAACTCCGTCTCAAAAAAACAAAAAAACAAAAAAAACCATGTATGGAAATGAGTGATTTATAAGCCATTTCACAGCATACGAATTCCTAAGTGGGAAAATTCATAAGCAAAAGTAGTAATGAAGACAAGAGGTATAGTGTTCTCTCACTCCAGCACTTGTTTAAAAAAAGTGGCCAGGTCAGGTTAGTGACCCAGTAATAATAGCAGGGTGCCAGGTAGAACTCCATGCACTTTAGTAAACAGGTGGGCTGGCTGGGCATGGTGGCTTACATCTGTAATCCCAGCACTCTGGGAGGCCAAGGCAGGTAGATCACTTGAGGTCAGGAGTTCAAGACCAGCCTGGCCAACTTGGTGAAACCCTGTCTCTACTAAAAATAAGAAAATTAGCCAGGCGGCCAGGCGCGGTGGCTCAAGCCTGTAATCCCAGCACTTTGGGAGGCCGAGGTGGGTGGATCACGAGGTCATGAGATCGAGACCATCCTGGTCAAAATGGTGAAACCCCATCCCTACTAAAGATACAAAAAATTAGCTGGGCATGGTGGCGCGTGCCTGTAATCCCAGCTACCTGAGGCTGAGGCAGGAGAATTGCCTGAACCCAGGAGGCGGAGGCTGCAGTGAGCCGAGATCGTGCCATTGCACTCCAGCCTGGGTAACAAGAGCGAAACTCCGTCTCTAAAAAAAAAAAAAAAAGAAAGAAAGAAAATTAGCCAGGCATGGTGGCGGGTGCCTGTAATTCCACCTACTCATGAGGCTGTGGCAGGATAATTGCTTGAACCCCGGAGGTGGAGTCTGCAGGTGAGCCGAGATGGTGCTACTGAATTCCAGCCTGGATGACAGAGTAAGACTGCATCTCAAAAAGAGGGAGAGAGAGAGAAAAAAAAGACAGGTGGGATCAGACACTGTGGTATGTGCAGCAGATTCAGAGAAGAAAGCCCCTGTCTTAAAGCAGCTTACAGTCTAGTGAGGGAGACCAAAAAAAACCAAATCACAGGATACTGTGCTTGTATAAAGGTAGTAATGGGCCGGGCACGGTGGTGCACACCTGTAATCCCAGCACTTCGGGGGAAAGATCGCTGTAGCCCAGGAGTTCTAGACCAGCCTAGGCAACACAGCAAAACCCTGTCTCTACCCAAAATACAAAAGGCAGGTTTGGTGGCATGTGCCTGTCAGCTACTCAGGAGGCTGAGGTGGGAGGATGGTTTGAGCCCAAGAGGTGGACATTGCAGTGAGCCAAGATGGCGCCATCGCACTTCAGCCTGGGTGACAGAGCCAGACCACACCTAAAAAATAAAAAAAAGAATGAACACCGGGCTTTATGAAAAAACAAAGGAAGAACTGGAAAGGCTGAAAGAATCCTGAAATCTTCCCAGAAGGGGTGATACCCAAGCCAAGACTTGAAACACTGGAGGGCCGAGCCAGGCTGCAGAGGGAAGAGAGGATGGCTACTGGAGGCAGAAATGTTGCGTGCAAAGGCACAGAAGCCACAGCGCACATCCAGTACTTGAAAATCCCAGGAGTTGGGAATGGCTGGTGCATCAGACAAGAGTTGGAGGTGGGAGGAGAGGGAGTTTCCTGTCTTGGAGGAGTCTTGCAGGAGTCTCATGGGAGACAGATTTTCAGACAAAAGTTCAGGAGTCTGATTTGTCGTGCTAAAATGTATGGATTTTGCACAAAAACATTTGGGAGTCTCTGAAAGACTTTAAGATGTGATAGGATCAGTTTTTTTGTTTTGTGTTTTTGTTTTTGAGATGGAGTTTTGCTCTTGTTGCCCAAGCTGGGGTGCAGTGGCGCGATCTTGGCTCACTGCAACCTCCGCCTCCTGGGTTCAAGCAGTTCTCTTGCCTCAGCTGCCTGAGCAGCTGGGATTACAGGTGTGTGCCATCATATCCAGCTAATTTTTGTATTTTTAGTAGAGATTGGGGTTTTACCATGTTGGTCAGGTTTGTCTTAAAGTCCTGACCTCAGGTGATCTGCCTGCCTTGACCTCCCAAAGTGATGGGATTGCAAGAATGAGCCAGTGTACCTGGCTGATAGAGTCAATTTTACATTTTTGTTTTATTAATTTACTTATTTATTTTTATGTTTTTTTGAGACAATGTTGCTCTGTAGCCCAGGCTGGAGTGCAGTAGCATGATCTTGGCTCACTGCAACCTCCACCTCCCGGGTTCAAGTGTCTCCTGCCTCATCCTCTGGAGTAGCTGGGACTACAGGCATGCACCACCATGCCCAGCTAATTTTTGTATTTTTAGTGGAGACGGGGTTTTGCTATGTTGACTGGGCTAGTCTCGAACTCCTGACATCAACTGATCTGCCTGCCTCGGCCTCCCAAAGTGCTGGGATTACAGGCCTGAGCCACCACGCCCAGCCCAGTTTTATATTTTTAGAAATCCAGTTCACACAGAAATTCTTCTGGTGACTGTGGAGAGTGGAGGTCAGACTGGAGGGTCAGGAGCCAGGGCTCTATGGGCAAATCCAAGCAAGGAGGAATGTGGACCTTGTAGTACATGCAGGCAGAGGTTACCTGGCAGTGGGCAGGGCCTTCTGCTGCTGTAGTGGTGGACTGGGCCGTATGGATCTATTCTCAGTGAATACTGGGTGAAACAGAAAAAGCGCTTTTCTAAAGACATCAAAGAGCTAACAAACTAGTGGGGAATTGTTGCACCAAGATCTGAAAGACCACAGTGAAGAGAGGTGAATACAGCATCTGCCCAGGCCAAGTGGCAGCTGAGAGATAGCAGTGCTTCCAACAGCCTCAAGCAGTAATTTTAAATCTGGATTTCATGGACCCTGCAATTCAGGAGATCCTTGGCTAAGAAAAAAAAATATATATTTTTGCACTAACCTCTAAATGAAGCTTAGACTTCCCTTCTATTATGAACCTAGGCAAGAAGCCACAGTAATATATATAAATATTGTATTTAATTATATATATATAATATATATATATATATAGAGAGAGAGTCTCGCTCTGTCACCCAGGCTGGAGTGCAGTGGTGTGATCTTGGCTCACTGCAACCATTGGCCAGGCTGGTCTCGAACTCCTGACCTTCAATGATTCACCTGTCTCAGCCTCTCAAAATGCTGCAATTACAGGCATGAGCCGCCTAGCCAAGCCACAGTGATACTATCAGTTGAGGTGACAAAGTTGCAAGAACTGATAAGCCACAGCAATATTATGAGTCCTTGTGACTTTTTCACCAACAGAAATCAGATATTTTCCTACCACATTTACAGTTGTTGCAGATGTCTCAAAACGCCATTTACATTCCTCACTATTTTAAAATTTCAGTCATTAGACCTGCTGCCAGAACATTATACAACACATTAATAAAGAAGCACATATACTACTGTTATTGCAAATATGTTTTTTCTTTTCTTTTTTGAGACAGGGTTTCGCTCTTGTTACCCAGGCTGGAGTGCAATGGCGAGATCTCAGCTCACTGCAACCTCTGCCTCCTGGGTTCAGGCAATTCTCCTGCCTCAGCCTCCTGAGTAGCTGGGATTACAGGCACGCGCCACCATGCCCAGCTAATTTTTTGTATTTTTAGTAGAGACAAGGTTTCACCATGTTGACCAGGATGGTCTCGATCTCTTGACCTCGTGATCCAACCGGCTCGGCCTCTCAAAGTGCTGGGATTACAGGCTTGAGCCACCGCGCCCGGTCCTCAAATATGTTTTTTCATGTTTTGATCACTGTATTTCAACATAATAGGTTTCCTTTGACATTACGTATTTTATGTATGCTTTAGAAAATATTTTTCTCACTTTGGGAGGTGAAGGTGGGAGAATCACTTGAGCCCAGGAGTTCAAGAGTAGCCTGGGC